TCTTCGTTCTCTCACCCTAAGGCGATGCCTTTCAAAAACATTGATTTTGGGACGCTGGAAGTACAAGACCAGTCAAATGACACCATGGTTCCAAGTGAGATTGAGGAAATCACCAATTTCCAGCATGCAGCAACCATGCCAGCAGCCCCAACGTGCAGCCGCAAGACAATGTTGGAATCTATCAGCGTTCAGCAACCATGCAAGCTATTCCAATATCAAGGAGGCAGTCTTAGTGAATCAGGAAATCACCAATTTCAGGTGATTTCGTGGAATACGTGGGAGAAAGTGAGCAACTCCAGGGAGATGATGATGATTCAGTTATTTTTTAGCAAGGAAGTGCAAATGAAACTGAACATATAGAAGGTATTGAAAATGATCCAATTACTTTCAAGCAAGCAATGGCAAGTGAGAAGGCTGAGCGGTGGAGAATGGTCATGCAAGAAGAGATGGATTCTATGTATTCCTTGGCAAGTGAGAAGGCTGAGCGGTGGAGAATGGCCATGCAAGAAGAGATGGATTCTATGTATTCCAATGAAGTATGGGAATTGGCGGAATCAAATGAGTCTGTCAAACCCATAAGGTGTAAGTGGGTTTTCAAAAGAAGCCCTCACAGGGAAGGTTGAGAGATATAAGGCAAGATCAGTTGTCAAAGGGTATACTCAAAGAGAAGGATTGGATTACTCCGATACATTTTCACTAGTGTCTTCCAAAGATTCACTAAGAATCATCATTGCTTTGGTTGCTCATTATGACCTCAAACTTCACCAAATGGACGTAAAAACTGCATTCCTTAATGGAGTTTTAGATGAAGATATTGACATGGTCCAACCACCTGGATTTGCTGAAATGGGGTGAGAACAAATGGTTTGCAAACTAAGAAAGTTGATCTATGGGTTGAAGCAAGCCTCAAGACAATGATTTTTAAAATTTGATGAGAAAGTGACAAGTTTTGGCTTCTTAGAAAGCAAAATTGACAATTGCTTGTACCTCAAGGTATGGTGCTCAAGTTTTATTTATTTTTAATACTGTACGTTGCTGACATTTTGTTGGCAAGTAATGATCTCAATCTGTCACTGGAGACAAAGAAATTACTGTCAAAACCCTTCGAAATGAAGGACATGGGTGAGGCTATTTTTGTTCTAGGAAGAGATGTCTTTTGGGTCCTTCTCAGAAGACTCACATTGAAAAAGTGTTAAAAAGGTTTAACATGCATAGCTGTTCGAAAGGAGAGGTTCCAATGAGCAAGGGAGAAAAGTAAAACAAGTCTCAATGTCCTAATAATGAGATAGAAATGCAAGGAATGTCAAACATACCTTATGCTTCAATTGTTGGGAGTCTAATGTATGCCCAAGACCAGATTTGGCCTTTGCAATAAGTATGCTTGAAGATTTCGAGCAAATCTGGTGTCTCTTCAGTAAGACAACATGTACTTGTATGACCACAAAGAACTCATTGTATTATTTGTTATCCTCGTAAGAGACTAACCCTTATAATCTAACAAATACACAAGTTTGCCAACAGAAATCCAGATGCAGATTGCCGTTGAAGATTGTAGATTTTCGGATACTAAAACCATGCAGATTTAGAGGCAAACAAAGTCAAAACAGACAAAACATATATGTTGATGTTAGGGTTTATAAAGAATAGCATTTGATTACTTCCCGTCTCTATACAGATGAGATTTCCATAACAAATCACAAATTCCAGCATACTAGGTCAAAATCCTAAACTAACAAAAATACTCAAATAATTATATAGAGCTAAAATACTAATATTTTCGAACACATAGACCACGGTACTTGCCAAAAACAAAAAACATCGTTGCAAGAGAGTTGTAAGAGCATTTCTAACGTGTAGCAGTTCTCTTGGGAATTGGTTGTTGAATGACCCAATGCCCCCAACAATTGGCTCTAGCCCATTCATATAGCTTGGGCTCCAGGTGAGCTTGGGCTCTCCACCAGGTAGAAATCTACGAGCACAGCACTTAAGGGATGTGACACAAGGTTGACATTAGCCACTAATAAAAAAATTATAAAATATTAATAAAAAAATATAAAAAATATAATTACCACAATAAAGGGATTGGTTGTCTGTATGCTGGGGAAGCCTAGCAACACTGGAAGTGCTCTAAGTAGTTGTAACTCTTTTAATTAAGAGTATTCATTAACTTCACCCAAAGTAGTTAATGAACAAAATAGTTGATACGTACCATCTGAGGATATATTTTTCAAATATCCCACCAATTATATCATGACACCTAGTGTATCCTTTTATGTTCTGAACATTGAATCTCTCATAAATAAATAAAAATAAAATTAAAAATAAAAAACCACCGGAAATTTCCTTGCTTTTGTTCCTTCAAAAAGAAAAAGAGAGGGAAAAATTAGAAACCCAACCGCCCTAAGAGTAAATAAGAATACATACGAGCCCAAGCCCATCACCCAACGAGATAAAAAGCAAACAAGCCAACTCAGCCACTCCATAAAAATTCAACCACTCTCCAGAAGTCTCTCGTGTGACCTTCGACGTTCTAATTCTCCCACTGATTTCTTCTCACAACCTCCTAGTCCCTTCCACCACCTTCTCTTCCCCTCCAATGAAGCCCTCCAAGAACCTTACTCACCCATATATATTCGAACCCCCAAACCCCACCTCACCATCAAACCAAAAGCATTTCAGCCAACCACATATTCAAATTTCCAGAGCAACCAGATTTTGCTTCCTTTTTCATTGTTTTCTCAAACCAATTATTCTATAGTTTCTTACTGATTTATTGTCCATGGCTTCAAAGACGCAAGGTAAGGCCATCGGCATCGACCTCGGTACCACCTACAGCTGCGTCGGGGTGTGGCAGAACGACCGCGTTGAGATCATAGCCAATGACCAGGGCAACAGAACCACCCCTTCCTATGTCGCCTTCACCGACACCGAGCGTTTGATCGGCGACGCAGCCAAGAACCAGGTCGCTATGAACCCCCAAAACACCGTTTTCGACGCCAAGAGACTCATCGGCAGGCGGTTCTCCGACCCTTCTGTCCAGAGCGACATGAAGCACTGGCCTTTCAAGGTCGTAGCTGGCCCTGGCGACAAGCCCATGATTGTGGTAAATTACAAAGGCGAAGAGAAGCAGTTTTCACCGGAAGAGATTTCGTCAATGGTGCTGATTAAGATGAGGGAGATTGCCGAGGCTTATTTGGGTCACCCTTGCAACAACGCTGTGGTCACTGTACCTGCTTACTTCAATGACTCGCAGCGGCAGGCCACAAAGGATGCTGGCTCCATTGCCGGGCTCAATGTGATGAGGATTATCAACGAGCCTACTGCTGCTGCCATTGCTTACGGTCTTGACAAGAAGGGATCCCGGAGTGGCGAGAAGAATGTTCTTATTTTCGATCTTGGTGGAGGGACTTTCGATGTTTCTTTGCTCACAATTGAGGAAGGCATCTTCGAAGTGAAGGCTACTGCTGGCGATACTCATCTTGGTGGTGAGGATTTTGACAACAGGCTTGTTAATCACTTTGTACAAGAGTTTAAGAGAAAGCACAAGAAGGATATTAGTAGCAATGCCAGAGCTTTGAGGAGGTTGAGGACTGCATGCGAGAGGGCGAAAAGGACTCTGTCTTCCACCTCTCAGACTACCATTGAGATCGATTCGCTCTACGAAGGTATTGATTTCTATTCTACAATTACTAGGGCGAGATTTGAAGAGATGAATATGGATTTGTTTAGGAAGTGTATGGAACCTGTTGAGAAGTGTTTGAGGGATTCCAAAATCGACAAGAGTCGGGTTGATGAGGTTGTTTTGGTTGGTGGGTCGACGAGAATTCCCAAAGTTCAGCAGCTTTTGCAAGATTTCTTCAATGGCAAGGAATTGTGCAAGAGCATAAACCCTGACGAAGCCGTGGCTTATGGTGCTGCTGTTCAAGCTGCAATTTTAACCGGCGAAGGAAATGAGAAGGTCCAAGATCTGTTGCTTCTTGATGTCACTCCTCTCAGCCTCGGTCTTGAGACTGCAGGTGGTGTCATGACGGTTTTGATTCCTAGAAACACAACCATTCCTACCAAGAAGGAGCAGATCTTCTCTACCTACTCCGACAACCAGCCAGGGGTGCTAATTCAGGTGTACGAAGGAGAGAGGGCTAGAACCAAGGACAACAACCTCCTCGGTAAATTTGAACTCACGGGCATTCCTCCGGCTCCAAGAGGTGTCCCTCAGATCAATGTCTGTTTTGACATTGATGCAAATGGTATCCTGAATGTCGGCGGAAGACAAGACAGCTGGAGTGAAGAACAAGATAACTATTACGAACGACAAGGGAAGATTGAGCAAGGAAGAGATCGAGAGAATGGTGCAGGAGGCAGAGAAGTACAAGGCTGAAGATGAGGAGGTGAAGAAGAAGGTGGATGCCAAGAACTCACTCGAGAACTACGCCTACAATATGCGGAACACTGTCAAGGATGAGAAGGTTGCAGGAAAATTAGACCCTGCAGACAAGCAGAAGATTGAGAAGGCCATTGACGAGGCAATTGAGTGGCTAGACAGGAACCAGTTGGCCGAGGTGGAGGAGTTTGAGGACAAGCAAAAGGAGTTGGAGGGATTGTGCAACCCGATTATTGCCAAAATGTATCAAGGTGCTGGTGGGGATGTGCCGATGGGCGGTGGTGCTCAGATGCCTGGAGGTGGATTTGGAAACGCTAGCTCCGGTGGTGGATCAGGAGCCGGACCTAAGATTGAAGAGGTTGATTAAGCTTGAACTCCACTCTTTGTATGATGAGTTATGTTGAGTTAGTGTGTGTGGAATAATGCATAGCCATAGTTGTAGGAATTAGGGAGGGTTTGCATAATATTATTACCGATGTATCTTTCAGCTTCTTTTGAAATCAAATAAGAACTTGTTTCGTTTTCTGCAAGTTTTCGTATTCTCTTTCATATTTTATGTTCCAAATCGAGCAGACGACTTTTGCAGCCAGTTTGTTTCCTCAAATTTCAAAGAATGTACTTGAACAAGGAACAGAATGATGAACGAATAAAATTACACTCAAATAGTTACATAAATGCGAATCGTTCATTATAAACTGAAACAAGCAAACAAGTAGTGATTGTTTAACAAAGAAGATAAATTGAATCAAATCCTCGTAGATGACGAATCAAAATCATCGGGAGCAACCCTGGCAATCCAGCTATTGAGAGTCCTCTTAATATCAGCATGATTAACATAAGCCAACTCGTACATACTGCACAAATTCACCACAACAGTCTCGTTCAATGCCACCGTAGGCACCCTTTCGAGGGCATTCTCCAACACCTTGATTGAATCGGACAAGTCACGCAAGTACATCAAGCAAAGCGCCTTGTTGTTGATGGCCACGACGTCGTTTTGCTCCCTCTCAATGCACTCCTCATACTCCCTCACTGCGGACACGTAGTCTTTCCCCACCACGTACACCAAGGCCTTGTTCCTGCTTACTAGGTTCTTAAACTCGTTGCTCGCTTCACCCTGCTTCTCCACCAACCCTTGGACCACGTTGAAGGAGCTCTTAGCTCCCTCCAAGTCCCCCATTTGCATCTGAATGTAACCCAGTTTTGACACCAAAATGGGGTCTGTGTAATCACGGTTAAGCAAGTCGTTGATCAAGCTCAAGCACACAGATACCTCCTTCTGACTCAAATGGACCCCTATAATACCATTCATTACAAACACCTCCCTTCTCTTCCACACAGAGACACTCACATTTCTTTCTTTTCCTTTGATCTTGCTCCGTACGAAATCTAACAAGCAGTACAGCCGATCCAGTCCCTCTTGTCGCTGGCCCAACTTGATGGGCAATAGGGAATAAAGCCACCTCAGGGAGAAAGGTACCATGGAGCCAACCCGATTTGGGTACACTTTTGGATAGGTTTCATAGTGGTAGCGAGAGCTGTCGAGGTCTTCTAAGGAATCAATCTCGGCAGAGGCTTCAGGGAAACTACGTAGTTTAGTTAAGGCAAGGACATTGTAGGTGAAATAAACAAGGTGGTCATGGGGTTTGTGAAGGAGGGATTGGGCTCGGGCCCGTGCCACCTTGTCAAGGATGGAACGCCATGAGCCACGGGTGGCGAGGTCCTGGAGCGAAGCGAGCTCATGGGCCACGTCGTTGAGGGAGCCAAACTGGTCCGTCAATGGGTCAGTGAAGAGGTTCGGGGTTTCCAAGTTAGTGGTTACAGTTTGGGGATCAGGTGTTTCCGCATCCATATTTTATACTCCTAAGATGGAAAGAGATACGAGATTTGATTTTAGTGGTAGGAAGGGAGTGGTTTGTTGGCTTCCCCTGGAGATGATGCACCCTGCAGTTAGCGTTTCAACGTCAATACGAAGCTGTGACTATCCAAAACACAATGAGGACGAGTAAAGGCTCAAATCATAAGTAGAATTCAAATTAGAGTCCCTCTACTATTCATCCCGCATGATCAATCACCAACCTTTCCAAAAGTGAAAAGCTTCATCTTTAGCTGCTCAAAGAGGCAGCCATAAAACTAAAATTAACCTAATTAACAAGAAAATAAAATAAAATCAAGGAAAAATGGTTGAATTGTTTGAATAAAAAGAAAATGGTTGAATTTTTTGAATAAAAAGGGCTAATTGCAAAGCTCGCTCTATATTCTGTACTAATTTTGGATCATTCCATCTGGGGTTAGGGTTACTTATGTCTCTGCCGATCATATAAAATTAGGTTTTCCACAACTTTCACAATAAAATAAAAATAAAAATTTAAGGGCGATTTCGATTGATGATATTGATATTGCAAATTACTCACAGTGAATCCAATTATTTAACTTTAGGATTTACAAAGTTGAGGAGATCCCCAAATCAATTGAAATGGAAAACTCAGTCGGATCCGATGGCACAAATTTCAAACACAAACAAATAAACATCCAAATTAAATTGACATGAGCGAAGAGAGAAGAACTAACCAGATCCTCAGCCTTCAGCCAATATGGGGAAGAAAAAGAAGAAGAAGAGCGTTGGCGAACTGACCTCAAGAAAAAACCAGCGCGTGCTGTGCTGCTGGAGAGGACGACGTCGTGCGTTATACTCCTTATGTCGTTTATCTTCCCAGTTTCCATGTAAAACCAAAAAATTGACAAATCAATAAAAAAATTGACAAATCAATAAAAAAATTTTTAAGGGTAATGGTATTCACACTCTATTTTATCTTTTACACATTCTTATTAATTTTTGTCCATAGATATTATTTTAATTCATTCAATCCTACGGCGAAAATTGAGAGGATTTGTGAATGTAAAAATTAGTGTGTAGATAACACCACTGAAATTAAAAGGACCAACTTTTAGTTTAGTTTTGAATCTTGACTCCACTAAAACTTTTAAAAGGATTTTGCACAAGTATCACCTGACGTTGCAAGCATGTGCGAAACTACCACCTGAACTTTTAAATTTTAATTTTTACTACTGAATCTCCTAAGTGTTGGAATCTACCACCCACATTATTTTCTATCCATTTTCCTGTTAAAACATGTCACGCTCTTCTCATGTGGAGGGATATTTCTGTCAATGATTTTCTAGGGCTCGCTGGAATCAATTTTTACGAAGGCCAAATGCATGTTCTTGTAGCAGCATTGGAGTAGGTCCGGAAGAGAAAGGGAGAAGTTGATGTCAGGTTTGATTTTGGGAAGGATTGTTAAAGACTGAAGTGAAAATTATGCATAAATCTAGTCATGCATTTGCAGTGAGTTTTCAAGATTTATTTTGTATGTCAGCAATTGCGTGTGCAATTGACCATAATTTATTCAAATATTAATTTTCAAACTCTTATATAGGGAATTGCTGAACTGGGGTTGTACAAACCCCCAATTTTGGCACTACGTTGACTATGTTAGTATTATTAGGAGCAAATCCGATTCTAGTCAGACCCATAAAGTTAATTGACGAAAATATTTTTACAGGTGACATGTTTTAACGACAAAATGGATGGAAAGTAACGTATGTGGTAGGTTCTAACAATTAAGAAAATACAGGTGGTAAAAAATAAAAATTAAATGTTTAGGTGGTGTTTCAACACATGTTTAAAAGTCCAGTAGTAAAAATGATTGTTTTTTTTTAAGTTTTTACTACCGAATCTGACACACCCCGTCCCGAAGGAGGGCATGCTGGCCGTCACGTGAGAGTGACGTAACCATTTGCACAGTACGGAAGCTTTAATTATACAACTTCAAAGTTAATACACCCGAAGGTGCGTCCTAATTTGGTCCATTCTGTCATAACACCGTCGAATTCCTCGTAGTCACCACACCTTTGTGATTCCTGAACCTGGAGGGGCGCAAAACCAAAATTGAGTGGGTCAGTAAAACAATTCTTTTCCAAATCCAAACATTTCTCAAAACGTTGTAACCCCTCTCCGTAAAACCTGTATACTTTCCCAGAAATGTAAAATATAAATATACATATATATTCTCAAAACTTCATTTTTACTATCTCAACATTATCTCTTTATCAATCATGCCATGCCATGTCATCTCAACATTTCTCATATTAATTATGCCATGCCACATCATCTCAACAGTTATAAGGTATGAATGCATCAACATAATCATATCAGGTGCAAGAAAGTAATCAACTGTAGGCCCTCTAATAGCCCTATACGGTTGAACCTAGAGCTCAAAATCTATCATTATCACTCTACCGGAGTCACCTCTGTGACCCGTCCGGCCTTCTGCACACAAGTTACGCTCTAGTGCTTCTCATAAATCATCTGTGCACATAATCTAAGGTCACCCACCAGTCGGAATCTCACTAACACTCTCGCGACTGGTCTGTCGTACCCACTCCGCGTGGACTGTACGACTAGCATCTACTTGGATCCAAGGCGAGCGTGCGATGCGGTGAATACTATAAGCACTAAACCATGGTGCAGGATTTGAGCTCAATATATATCATCATCATCATAACAGTAATTAAATACTCATCTGTGCGTCCACCGCACCATTTCATACATATGCATCATAAATCAATTCTTACCTGTGCGTCCACCGCACCATTTCATACATATGCATCATAAATCAATTCTTACCTGTGCGTCCACCGCACCAATTCATACATATGCATCATATATTAATTCATGCATGGCATTTCAACTCACATTTCTATATACTTTTCACATCAATTCTATGCATGGTATTTCACTTCCCGTTTTTCCACATAACTCATATGCATTTCATTTTAAACATAATTTCATGCATTTTCAATTTCTGGGAAAACGTTAAGTATATATATATATACGGAAAACAAAACTGCCCACTCACCTGGAGTTCGCCCTACAACTCCCTAGCACCACACATCAAGGCGTCATGACGATCGGCGCCTAAAACAATAATTAATTCCAACCTCAGAATTCATATCGATAGAATATATAACTTATATAAAATACGTCACTACGTAGTTCAATCCGGAAGATCCACCACTCAGATTTTAAATCCATAACTTCCAGAGGTCCACAATATATCTCTAGGATAACATCCTAAAATTTCATTACCATCCAACGGTCGGATCTCCGTCAATTTCCAAAACTAAGTGACGGTTAACATTTTATATTATGGACTTACAATTCCAATTCCGGAAGATCCGTAACTCGGATTCCCAATCCGTAAGTTCCAATAATCCTCAAATATTACGTATTACAACGTATCAAAGTTTGGTAATGATCCAACGGTCGGATCATCAATTCACATTTTCACCTAATGCGAAAACTATAAAACGTTATTCGAACACCTAACCAACAATCCTTAATAACTTTCTCATACGGTGCTCAATTTGGGTATATGAATATACCACAGTGATCTACTCGACGTCACGGACGTCGACATATTTTTAAAATAATTTTTTACTGTAGCACGCGCCCCCACGCGCCAAGGAAGGCACGGGTCCACGCGCGCCCACGCGCACCTTCTTCCTCGCGGGTTCGTCGGACTGGTTTTTCCGGTGGCCGGAAAACTGGGGAATTTTCAAATGCTTCGTTCTCCTTCGTTTCTCAACCATTTTCTTCGTATAATATATCAATTTAAAACCCTCAACATGTAGAATCACAATATACTACTTTTAAGCTTCAAAAACAACTAAATCTCACCGGAAAAATCCAAGCAAAACCGGCCAAACTTAACCCTCGTGATCCCGACGTCCAAATCCTTCCAACGAAGCACTCCGAGCTTCCTTGGGACCTCACTAAGCTCACTATGAGCTTGGATTGTCCTAAAAATCAACCAATTCAAAGCTCATGAACAGTACACATTCACGGGAACTTTTAAAACTACGTTTTCCGAAGTAGAACTTACCTGAAATGGGTACCATTGTGTTCGTGTAGTCTTCAGGATTCCAATGGTGGTCTTAGATTCGTCGTTGGTATAGATTTATGGTGGTTTTGGTGGTTGCCCGGGTGTTCGAGAGGGTGAGAGAGAGAGAGAGTGAAGGTCTGAGGAAGAAAGAGAGTCTGAGGAAGAGAGAGAGAGTGAATACGGGAAATGGGGAGGAAATCAGGGCATGAGGCCCTACCTAACCCCAACCACGAAATTGTAACATGAAAATGTAATTCTAGGTCTAAGTTCCTAAACTAAATGATATTTAATTACCAATAGTTTAGAAGCTTAGATAAATCAACGTCAATTTACGCACTTTAGTTTCGTTTAGGGACATTTTAGTCTTTTCACGTCCTCGGAATTGAAATTCCGGGACGGGCTGTGACAGAATCTCCTAAGGGAAAATTTTTAATAAAAACAATTTTGGTTTTTTAAAATCTTTGATCAAACAGAACCAAATCAAACTGTTATATTTTATAATTCGGGATAAAACCCATCCAATCCAAGGAAAATTTATAAATAATGAAAATTTGGATAATTGAGTTATGAGAAAATTAAAATGATTGACATATATAATATAAGCAACAAACTCAAAGTATAGTAAGTAATGTAGTTACAACTTTTTTTAATACATACCATATTGTTTATCTAAAAAGGTGAGAGATTGTGCTAAGCCTCACACTGAGAATATATAAATTTAATACAATCACCATCTGATGGTCAAGATGATGATTGTATTACATACATGTAAGCATTGTTGACAAATCACAAATGATATATTTAACAATTTCAATTTTAAAGGAGTTAATAAAATTATATTTAGAAAGCATTTTTTTCCTAAAAAGAAAAGGAGTTAGCATGCCTCAACAAATTAAAATTTGTTTTCAATTAGAAACATCAGGAAACCTTTCCTAACAAGAAAATGAGTATACCTCGTCATCCCCCATCCTTAAGAATTATCGATCACTACTAATAACCTTTTCTACCAAATTGCATTCCCCTCTCTTTTTGAGTCTTCAATCGACGAACCTCTCTCTCTCTATCGTGCTTCTTCTGTCTTCATTCACAATGACCAACAAAACTGATCACTCTTCTGGCTTTAAGGTGACAAAGACCGACTTCGGTACAGCCATCCTTGAGCGCAAGAAGGCTGTAAATCGGCTTCTTGTCGATGATGCTATTGCTGTCTCCGACAACAACTCAGTGGTAACGCTACACCCGGTGACTGATAGGGATTTTACTACTTATGTGAACGGGTTAAAAACTCCTATTATACTTGCAAGAATTACAAGGTTGTTGTTGTATAAACGGATCTCACAAGGTCGTTCTCCACATGAATTATTAAATAATTCGAAACAAACCAAATTTCAATTAATTATTGTAAAGTAGAAATTGAGGTGATTGATTTTATAACATACTTAAATTAAAAACGAATTTAATTAATAAAAATAAGACAATCTTCAATATTAAAACTAGATGGAAAAAGAAAACAGTTTTGAAAAATCAAATTAAGAAAACACTAGGGTTCCACCATCACCTAGCAATCCTATGAACTTTACCAATTACTTATGATCAACACATGCCACTTTGAAGGTTAGGTTTTCCTAATTTATATTCTACTTAGAACCTCCAACATATAACGTATATCTAACTTGTAACTCGTCCGGACGTTCGGATCAAATCTGAATATGAAAGACTCATTATGCTTTATGAAAACCCTTTGAAAAACCATGCAACCCTTAAGATGTGGTAT